ACTGGGAGCTGGTCACCGTCGAAAACGCCATTCAACTGACTTTCAGTTTTCAGCAGACTGTTTTCTAACGGCCAATCTGAAACGTGATCTAAGCCCCCTATTGAGTGTTGATCAACAGCCGTTAATAGAAAGAAATGGGAATTTGTACTTCCCAGACTGGATAAACTGGATTCGGGAGCGAGAAAAATGTGCAGGACGTGAACCATAAAATTGGGGGGCCAAAATAAGATACTTTCCTTCAGAGCAGACGGCGTTGAACAGTGTTCAGGGCAGGAGAGTAATCAAGAACTCTGAGTGCCTACTTACGACAGCCGCAGGTTTAGCTATTATTCATGTCTCACCGTAGGTATAAAAACCTTCAGGTATCACGTATTATATGAATATATGCGACTTTTACGTCTCTTCTATCATCGAAAGTGACTATCTATCGTCCTCTTCCCTCTCAATCCTCATCCGGTTCCCTTACTAGAATACCGGCGTATGTTTGGGCGGTTCAGTATGCTCCATATCAATTTTGTAATTGGTGATGACAAGACTTCCTTTTTTGACTTTCCATTATAGCCCCCAATAAACAACGTAAACGTTAAACTCCTGCGTACAAGCAGGTCTGTTTGTCCACCGACGGCCTCACCAAAACGTCAATTTGACCTCATCGTAGTCTGGAAGTCCGCCGTCTACAACTTTGATGACCGGGAACGTATCCGCCAGTATTATCACGATCTAGACCAACAGACGAACCTCAAGATTGGCATGGTCTTTTCTCTCGGCTTGCCTCGTTCCAGTGGCGGTGCACTCTTCCACATGAATGGCTTCGACATTCAACTACCCGAGCGTGCGGGCCAGGCGCTAAAGACCTGGGAGGGTCGGGCTAAGGAGGCGTTGAAACGCCTGACTGCCGAGTCCGATCGCTACGGCGATATCATCCTAGGCGACTACTTGGATACCTACTTGAACCTGACTCTCAAGATGAACACCATGTTTCGGTGGGCGAGCAGCTTCTGTCGTCATCAGACGCTCGCCTTCTTCTTCATCGACGATGACTACCTCTTCTTCCCTCAGCGTGTTGAGGCCTACCTGCGCTCGATTGATCCCGAAAGGCTGCCCAGTTTGTACAGTGGCCAGATGCTGCGCAACTACCGGGTCATTCGACCGCATGTGGACCCCCGACAGAACAAGTATGCCAGCAGTGAGGACGATGTACCCTGGCTGGTGTATCCACCTTACCTGGCGGGCCAACACTTCTTCATCGGTCCCCAGGCGCTCTCTGACCTAGTGGTAGCCATGGCCTACACGCGCTACCACTCCCTCGATGACACCTTCCTGGCCTTCAGCCTGGCTAAACTGCCCTACCAAATGGAGGTGATGCCGGCCCTGTTGGTCAGACCGCATGACTCTTACTCCTGGCTTTACTGGCTAACTGTGAAGCTGGAGGCCTTCTTCAAGTCCGTGGAGGCTGTCTTCTTGACAAATCCTGAACCCACGTTCCTCTTTGACGTCCAAACTCTCTAACGCACTCCACCTACTCCTCTCCTCCGAGAAAGTAATCTCCTCAACAATGCGTATACCTCTAACAGAAAATAACTTGACCTGTTTTTATTTGTGCAGTGTGTTTTATTTTTTACCAGCTTTATCCTGGTGTTTTTATGCTTATTTTTTTACAGATGCACACTATAAAGTTTTCTTTTGTTTATCACCAAGGTCCATGGATGACAGGTGTTTGCGTCTTTCCCAATGGGGTCTTTGACGGCCCTCACGCATATGGGACCCAAGCTGATCGTTGCATTGTAGAGCATATCGCAGGGGATTAAATAAGTTAAACCCCAGCAACTGCGACCTTCCTTAGGTGGAAAGAAATCATAAGAGGCCAGAGTGGAAGGAACAGTTTATTCTACAAAGCAGAAATAGAAAATAGGTGGTAGAAAATTGAATGTCAGACAAGCGAGCAGCCACAAGTCTCAGAGGTTCGTCTGAAGTGAGGTGACCGCGGAAATCACCACGGCCTCGGCCTTGACGGGTGATCGGCTAGACAGACGGGCGTAGGCGGCCAGTACATGTGCACTCGTGGGTCGCG